CAAGAACAATGAATTGAAATACAAAATGATATAAGTAAGCATTATATAAAACTTTGATGGCTTTAGCAGGTGCTAGGAGCGTGAACGGACCGGCAGCTTGGAACTACCACTACCCTTCATTGATCAGTACAAAATAGTACATTAGAGGCACCAATCTTCATTATTAGCACCTTTATGTTCATTAAAACCAATTAATTATAAATAAAAGGATTCCCCGTCTCAAGATATTTAACTGTTCAAATGGTAATAAGTCACATTGGATATACAATACATTGAATATTTTCAATATTGCTTTTTATTTCAGAGTGATGCCTCATAAATAATACGATATTTTCTAACTTTTGTTTGCTGTAATTATTTCTAAGGTTCCATTATGTAAGTAATATTTGTGAGGACCATGGGTAACATCTTTGTAGAATTAATTACAGTTTGCACACAATTGACTGTATTGTTACTTATTACTCCGTGCATGTGGACTGATGGAAGTTATGCACGATGTGTGATTCATATATAATATTTTACATATATAATGTCTAATGTTTAATTGGTTATGTATCTATAGAAGCACAAACTTTACTATGGTAATTAATTGAGTTCTTGAGTTTATTAGCCTGTTTGATTTTCTTCTTTTTTAGATCTTGTGGTCAGAACTGTAATTCATTTGTTTACCATATGCTATTTGCACTGCCTTGTTTATAATTGCAATATTGATTTTTTTTTCTCCTCAAACGATAGTAACGTTAATATAACGAAACTAAGCACCTCGATATTCATATCTTATCTCAATATATTAATAACAGTTTATTTCTTTAGATACTATTATTATGCATGTTTAAGATCGTAATAAATATTACTCCTACATACATTGTATTGTGCTTCCATATACATTTGTGTATTTCAAATAATGAAATAGAATTAATAGAAGTGGCTGAAGTATAATGACCTTCATGAATAATATACTGCTAGTGAGGACCTTGGGAAACATCTCTAAGTTATCAATTAAACTACCCACACAGTTGATTATATAGTTATGTACTTATTACATTAAATAAACGTGGGGGTTAAAAGTTATATATGATATATGATATTTATGAGTTCTTTTGTAACTTTACTTGCACATATTTACTGCTTCTATGGTTGTTTTGATGAGTATCTGGCGTCCTTCCGTATTTCCTTACATGTTGTTCATACCAAAGGATATGATAATTTAAACAACTTCTAAAAGGACTATCGATTTATCCTTGCATGATGATAATTTTATAATTTTAAAATTAATTTAAAAACAAAGTTATTTTTTTAATTTTGTTTCCAAGGAATCGAGTTTTTTCATGATTAACTTTGAATTAACAGTGATATGTTTTAAGTGGTCTTGTAAATATTACTTCAGGTATTTGGCAATTGGATTTTAAACTAATTTATACCTTTTTAAAATTCAAATCGTAATTAAAACTATTAATTAAAAAATATGTTTAATGAAGTCTGTCATATACTGTCTGAATAGATAAATCGGTATTCATCTACAACATGATGGCTATCTACATATATATCTTAAAAAAAACTTACTTTGATGCATTCAAACTGAATATTAAGTGTGGAAATCTTGGTAAATTCAAACAGTTTTTATAGAAAAGAAATTACCCCCTACTTTTTCCTTTAGTTTTTTTAGCTCGTTTCTCTTATATGTCTTTTATCTCGGAAAGTTTACTTGGATGTTTACTTATTACTAAATTACCTAGGTTCCGTCATTATGGGGCGAAGCGTAAGTGGAACGGATCGTTATCAATTCTTTATAAGTTGCAGTTCCAGTTTCATGTATATTTAACCTGAAACAAAGGGCATTATGGTTTCCCATTCCGCTTATTTTGTATATTTATACATCTTAAAGATACAGTTTTTTCCCAAGGAATGACATACATTTATTACAACATTTGTTTTATTTTGTTGTTATTAAATAAATAAACACTAGAAACGCTCATAGAAAACAAAATATTTTAACACAGGACCTTAGGAAGTATTTATGAATTGCTATCAATTGTTTTTCCTATGGAGTTGCTTAAATTGTTACTTGATGTACTTGTGTTTTGACGTACATGTTTAATCATTGTCAATTAAGAACTACTTGACTACTTTGTCTCGACTTATTTATTTTTTAGTTATTTTGATGAAAAGCTGGCTTCAATTAATATTTTATTTCCTGTTTGCTCTTTTCATAAGTTGTTTTGCATATATGTGTTGCTTTTCTTCATAACCAAAGATTGAACGCAGATTCTGGGAAGAAGGCGATCCCTCAAGAGTAATAACATCAAAATCAAATAGTTGAAAATTCTACTTTTTTGATTGTATGACAAATACCTTTTTTCTTAATCATTATTGATTGGTTGATTATATAATGCTAATTGTCCGTCTGCGACTGTTTATAGAAGGCATTAGAAAAGAAAGGTAATAATACTATATATACACCCAGTTAATTATGCTTTAATAAATCAACATTACGGGTTAGATATTGCAGCTTGCAAATCAACGTTTCAAATTACTCTCTGTTCAGCTATTGATTTGCCAGGAATTATTGGCATAAACAAGAACTCGACAATGCACTTTTGTTAGGAACCTGAAACTAACCTTTCATCTGATGTGAGACTTAATTAACCTATTAACAACTTTCCATTTAAAGATCAAACAAATATATATACTATATTATAAATAACATAATCGGATTTTAGATGCGTTCGTCTTTGATTATATATATATGCTATATATAGTGCAGGTGTTTTAGATATTTTATTATTTCTGTATAAATGTCTTTTTAGTATGAATAGTTCAAATAAAAACCTTATAGGTCGCACAGCACATCTTGATTAAAAATGCTGCTGACTTAGTGAAAATGAACCATTCAAGGGCGACAGTGGTAAATACACGCTCGTTCACTCCCTAGTGTTAAATGTTAAATTTTGAAGGGAAAATCTGTATATGTGACAGAGAGGTGGCAATGTGGCACTTAACATACATAGTCACAGAATGAAGGATTGTGTGTTTGTGCTCTTAAAGAGAATATAAAATGAATGAATATAGATCTATTTACAATTTGTGAAAAAAATAAACAAAGCCTTTATTATATTTTGTTAAATTTGGGCAACATCTTAAACGTTAAATATGGATAAGATATCTTTATAACACTTGCAAAGCAAATACTTGCACACGGGAACATAAGTTTTATAATTGTATGTCAACATTTGCCGACGCCAAAAATGATGCTTTATCATAACTACCAACAAATTAATATGGAAAAAAACTTGTTCTCTATTTCTTTTTGTGGTTTGAGGTAAAGACTATGGTTGTTTCGTATGATACTGTTGAGCTAAAACGGACACCTTACAAACTTAAGTATTGGCGATAATTTCATGGGCATCAGTCATTGTATTATATTCCTGAGCACTATAAAGTACCAGCTATGAAGATATTCCCACATATATAGACATGACAACTATTGTGATTAGAACCCAAGACTTGTACTTATACCATAGATTGGCAACAAGCACACTTTATCAAAAATGAATATTGATTTATTCATAAAAAAATTGTATAGTTCCCTAAAATTCAGTATTCTGGAAAAAAAAATCAAGATAATTTAAGATGTTTAAAGAAAATGGTTTTAATCAAATAGAGACCCTTTATAAAACAGCACATTTATATTAAGTATATGTTAACATGTAATTAAAGTAAAAAATGAAATTGAAATGTTAAGTGCTCTGTGACAGGTGGTAACAATTTTACTTTATTTCATCTGTGTTGTTTTATTTGTATTGGCCTTTAGGGATCATTTGTTCATTATTTATAGTGTTGAAAATTGAAAACTGATTAGGCCTGTGTCAGGTATCGTGATAGACTTTGCATACTTCGTTACCTCTCATGAATGGACTTTATTAAACAGCTTCTGCAATTTTCACCTTTTTTTATTTGTGTTTTCATAGCTTTTAAGGGATTTCTACCTCCTCTTTAGATCATTCAAATGTCAAGAAAATAATATAAAATGTTGCAGACTAAGTCATGTACAAATATTCTGTTTGCAGATTGCATTAAATCTACATACGTTTACATAACTTAATAATCATTAAAAGTAAATACATAAATACTATAATGATACTTCGTGATTTTGCAAAATCTGAACGTTTCTTTACTTTACGGTAAATTGATATGGTTGAACACTATATGCTCATTGTTCAAGACTTGGTAAATTTCAAAATATTCATTTTTTACAGAGTAATGGAGTAATGTTACAGAAAAGGGAATCAGTATAAACATAACAACAGAACATGTGTACATCGAAGGTTCAAAGAAGTAACTTTGACATTCAAGGTAATAAGCAATAAAACTGTAACATGAGCAAATGTAATTTTATAAACATTCTTGATGGCCAGTCCCCCCTCTACATTTAAGATTTTATTTGGCTTGAAAGTTTGTTGTTTAGTGTTTGTTTTTTTTTTTGTATTTTACTAATGTTTACTTTAGGCTTCAAACCACTTGAAACATCAATTGACAAACAAACAAAGACGGTGCAACTTCAAAGGCACCGTTTGTACATCCAGATATGCTAGTAAATTTAATGTTTGATATGGTCAAAAGATAAGAACACATTAAGACATGACAATTATAAGATTTAAAGAAATACATACATTCATTACAAGATACAGTTACTATTTCAAACACTTAATGGAGATCTTTTCTATACAACTTATGATATCGTTTTCAATCGTATTACCATCAGTACTTTAACGATGTATTTTGAGCTCAAAATAGTCTGAGAAAGAAGTTGTATATCATGAACAAAATAACTTATGCGCATAATAAACTCAGTCAATAAGAAACTTATAGATATGACATCATCTGTTTCTGTAAAATAATGTTTCTCTTCATACATCATCGCATGAGTCCAAAATATTCAAATGACGTTTATTCTAATGGACCCCTTTGATGCAGTGAAAAAATATGCCAATTATCTTGTCTACCACTATTGAGAAATTGTTTTGACAAACATCAGTAAAAGCTCATATTTCATGGATATTACTGTAGAGCACGTGATACAATAAATGTTTGTAAAGTAAAGAAAGGTCTTGGTTTGACCTAGGATTGGCACTATAACGTCATGGAAGATCTTTATAAATTGAGGCAATTCCGATAATGATTTCAGCTTCATTAGAAAATTGTCAGGGATCACAGCTGACTTATTTCTCTTTTTCGGATTTGGAGGAGAAAACTCTAATTGGTATGTAATTTTACAAATATTAATGATGATATTTAATAAAATAAATAATAGTTTGCTTATAATTATTAAAGGATTAATTTGACGTTCTTGTGACGTTAAGGAAATAAATTATTACTTAAATATAATTTATAAATAATTAATCTAAAATTAAAATACAATATGTTTCTGTTCGACGGTTGAAAAAAAAATGTGATGTTCAAGAAGATACGTTATTTTATCAACATGATTATAGTATTCACGTAATATAATCATCACCTGTATTGATATTTTTTGAAGAAAAAAAAATTAACATTTTCTAGAAGCTCATTGAAATTATCTTTTTGCCCGATACAGGCACTAACAAATAGTTCTACCTAAGAATAGCTTTTAATTTTATGTGAAGATTTAATATAACAATAAATACTTTATCAATCATAATATTCCTAATTAGAAATATATGTTATTGTTTCCATTTATCGATTTGAAAGAGATCATGTAAATCACATCGATATAAGTATTAGAAATTGTTAGTCACCGTAGCAAAAATAAGCAATGTCATTGGGTTTATTTATTTATTTATTTATTTATTTATTCTCGTCAAGGTTTTTAAATAATGCAATGCATAACATGCATATGACTATATAATATTTCGATAATAGAACTATTGAATTGATATTTTATTATCCCACCAACAGTAACTGATACTATTACATATTGTATTGATTGAGTTAATACAGCACGTGAGTGGCCTTCAATTGATTAGATTTACCCAATGGTCAAATACGACAATAAGCTATCACAAAAACAGAAATAACTTTTACTAAAATGTTAAAGGGACTCCACTGAGGTTTTTTGACATGATGGGACTGAAAATATTTTTTCCAGATAATTGTATCATTTGATGTAGTTTTAGATCACTAATCTTTGTGCAAAATTTCAGATCATTCGCGCACTTCGTTTTTCCAGAATAATTATTTAAATTGTAAAAAACTGACACAAAGTGAAAAGCGTTTAAACGCTTTTCACTCAAATTAGGCCAAGAAAAGCATAAAAATACGATTTTTAATTTATTTCAAAGTATATTTCTTAACTATCTTTGCATATATTTTTGTTTAAAGTGTCCTAGCTCATTTATGTAAGAAATTCAAATGTTATGTTTTTAGACTTTTAAACCTCAGTGGAGTCCCTTTAAATGTCAAAATATTACTTTATATTATCTATGTTATTGCCAATACAATATACAAAACGTTAATATTAATATAATTATGCTTTTTTTTATTGTAAATCTCTTGAAGCCCCCTCGCACTGTGTTATTATTTATATTCATATTTGATTATTAGAACAATTTATAAAATTATATCTAACCGGTTGTCTTGGAAATCTTGAATGAATTCGCTTAACTCGTATCAAATTAAAGAAATTGTCCATATGTTCTCCATAAAAGGGACGAAAGATTGATTGGTGATGTATATAATATAACGACAAAGTTATAATTATGGTAATTATTTGATAAATGAAACACAAATGTTGACATTGTGTCTTCGCAAGTGAGATTAAAATGACATTGACACATCTTCTGAATTATATGATTCTGGAAAGTGTTATTGATATTTTCGTTATTGAAAAAAGTGTTCATATTATGATATATAATGTCATCATCAAATAATTAAAATTATTACAAATTTATTTTGACCATCTACTTTATGTAATGAATGCCAGAATCATTGGAATAAATCGACCTTCAAAACGCGTCAATTTCAAAAAAAAAAATACTACATGTACTAGCATCTTTTAAATCTGCAACCGTTGTTATAAATTATTATAAACTATTTGATAAGAAAGAGTACTTGTTTGCCTGGACCTCAAGGTTAAAACGAAGTGGCTTCCAGGGATACTTTATTTTAACTGAAATTGATAAAGAGTCATTATATTAAGATCTTATTTTATATACGTTCCAAAATCACTCTCTTATAAATGGAAAATGGCATTGTATCCCTATAATGTGAAAATCCAATTTTTAAACAAATGATGAAAACAAAATGAATTTTCAATGACTTTATATTGTTTTCCAAAAAGCAATATTTGAATAAATTATGGAATGATAGAGGTTTTAACGATAAGTTTGCATGAACTTAAATATCAATACAGATAATGTTTTAAAAAGCGTAGAACAAATCAAAGATTTTCATGTTGTCACGATTCGTGCTTAACTCCACTATTATAACATTTACATTAAATAAGAAACTGCAGATTAGATTATTTTCTATATTTAAACGGGACACAAGATGCGTGCAGATAAAAGATAAGAGAATCAATAAATGATGATTTTAGTAAAGATTCTTTGACGGGCATGCATGGCGCTATATTGTAAGTTGTGGCCATCTGTTTGTAGGTATACAACGTCATAAAGACATAACAGAAAAAATAACGGAGAAATAATTTGAACTAAAATTCTGATTCAATGAGTTTAAAATAGGTTTACTATTTTGTATAAGGGGAAATATAGTCATAATCATGGTAATAATTTGAAACGCAGTGAAGTAACACATATTAAATAATATATTTTTCTTTGCTTTGCAAACTGTTTAAAAAAAACTTAATTTTTTAAATTATTATAAATTTGTGTGAAAGGTATAGCTAACTGAATCATTGTCTGCTGCTAGCTGTTCTCATGTCGAGTCAACAGGAATATTTTGTTTGTATCTTAGTTATCATTTTCGACAAAGTTGCACAACACTTTGACGTATTTGATGGGAACATCAAACTGTTTGCTTTGTGCTTGACAAGGTGATTTGTTATTGCTATTTGCTTAAACAAACTTCCTGGCAGTTCTCAGTAAGGCGTCATCATTTGTTTGACAGGCACTTAAATCTAACAGCTGTGTCACAATTAAAGATAACAAAATTGGAATTTTAGCACACATTAAATGGTATGAGAGGTTAAATGAAATACAACAATTGTAACATCCTAAAGTGCAAACTCTTAAAAAGATTCTTTATGATAGCAATGTAACCAATTTAAAGAGACAAAATAGTTCAAGAATTTGTGCTGAAATACTTATTTCTTTGTTTATTTATTAAGATAAAGTTATTTTCCAATGCTGCTATGAATAACTGGAAGGCTGTTAATTTAAATTCAATATATATGTATGTATATATGTATGTGTTTGTGTTTGTATAAAGTATAACGGTACATTAGTTTATTGAAAGAGTTTTTATATATAGATTATTTTCTCGTTTCAGTCAATAAAAATGAACCGATTGTTCTTGTTCGTGCTTGCCGTAGCATTGCTCATTGCCTCCGCCCTTGCCTTTCCAAAAACGATGGCAAAATCGGGAATGTGGTCTGAAACAAAGTTTTGTCAAACTAAATGCGACAGAAGATTAGAATACTGTGATGCCCTATGTACCATCAAATATGGCGAAGATCGTACTGGAGAAGATCCGTTCCAATATAAAAGATGCCTAGATGATTGTGCTAACACATACCTTTACCAATGCCTCAGCAAATGCTTTTAATTGATGATTGATTCAAAAGTTGGAGAACATTGTCAATAGAATGAATGTTTATGTACAATAAACATTTTAAATTAAAAAGATCTTTAAACATCTTACAATTTCGCCCTTCCTTTTCAACCCATGAGTAATCTTCTTTATCTGTGATATTTGTTCATAGTATTTGAATGTATGCCTAACAAATATTGTCTTTGTCGCTACTTATTATACAGGCTCAAAATTAGGCAATTAGACAATGTCTGATTAATAAATAAATACTTTTGTTATTTTGTTAAGGGCGTATCAAATATCATTATAAAAATCGACAAATGGCTTACACTTTTTTGTACTCAGGATTAAAAAATAAATAAACGTAACAAAATGAGTTTTATTTGTTTATTAGTTACAACAATTTGTAACGTTATTACAAAATCATTATGGTACATTATTGGACTAGCTTTTATATGTATTATATGGCATGTCCCTCCTTTCCTCCCTCCGCCCTTATGCCATCCCGTTTAGGTTCAGTTCCTTACTAAGTGTCTTGCCTTATGTAGGTGATTGCGTTTATGTGAACGTCGCCTTGCCTTGTTGACCTTTGTTCTCAATGTTTGCCTACCGTTACCGTATGATCAGTGATTTTGTGCATTCAAGATCTACATAGTTACTTATCTAATTTATAAAACTCCGTCGTGCAATGTGTGTCATCTTGCACAGTAACTAATAGATTACAGGAAATAAAGAATAAATAATTTGTTCTCGGAGACATGATATCTCCATGCCAATTACCAACTCAATATTGCATATAAAAAGTATAAAGATATGTTCATTTATTATAAATACAAATCGTCTTTGTTTTTTTTATTTACTTATCTATTGTTCCCTTTGAAAGATTTAGTAAAATATACAATTCTGCATTTCTTAAACGATGTTTAATTATAACTTATATCATAATGAGCTTTAAAGATCCTGTATGTTTTGTGATTAATATTGTTACTGTGTGTATATATTTTTAATGCGTTTGTTTAAGGTCGCCGCCGGAAAGCCCATATGGGCGACCGTACACTCAAGTCGCTCCACGTTCCTTTTGCTGTCAATGTACAGACGGATAGTGTGCTAGCAGGACGGTATGACAGCGCGACAGCAGGCTAGCATGACGAGGAACGGGCGGACAAAGGATATACACTTTATATACCCCCTCTCTTAATGAAAGTCATAATATCTGATCACGACCGGAAAACTTAATTCATCTTTAAATGTTATTGTTTTGATACAGCGTAGGAATCATTCTAACATAAAAAGATTTCTTCAGTCATTCAAAACATCGTAACCTCGCTTTATCAATAAAAAGGTAAAACATACAATACGCTTCAGCCACTCATTTAAAAGGTAACTAGTCTTAAAAGCTCTATCTATTCATTCGACTAGAATATAACTATATTTTACAGAAATTAAAGAAAATATTTCATTAAGATTTAATTGAAACATGCCTATCAAAAATAGTTTTGTTTGTACTTCTTATAAATCCACAATAAACATATCGCAGTTGACAAAGTACCACAAAAACAACCTAATTGTCGTGTTAAAAGATCTTAGAAAAATAATGTAAAATAACTTTAACTGAATACAGTATAGAAGCGATAACTGCACGTTTCCCCGATCCTTGGTTAGATAAATCACAACTCCCGCAATGCAGCTTTGTCATTTTTGCTCTAGCTGATAGTACTAACAACAGTCGAATCATTAATGGAAATACAATCTTCACTCAAATTGAGAGTGAATTTGTCTTTTCACCTTCAACACAATGTCATAACACATTCTTGTTGAAGTGTCACTGTTGCAGAGGAGTAGAATTGAGGTTTTATGACACGAATTCTATACTGATATCATGTTTGAAATGCATGTAACTTTAGACTATTTGCACTTACATTGTTGTTGCGGATTGCTGATTTACTCTACATGTATTTGGTGAGCTAAATGGTCGCAATTAGCTTTGTAGGAATTAAACTAAATTTATTAATCAGATTTTCAGATTTTATTTTCAATATATGCAAAAGTCCCACAATAGCGGGAAACATAAGCAAATTGTGACATACATAAATGCATACATACATACATAGAATCACATAACATAATGTAGTAGAAAACGGCTATTGAGATTTCCAAGAACAGAGCCTAACACATTCATATTTATTTAAGCTATAAAATTGAGCTGGGTATATATATGGGCCGTGTCATGACAAAACCAACACAATGCGCCCGCCACCAGCACGGATCCAGACCAGCCTGCGCATCCGGGCAGTCCGATCAGGATCCATGCTGTTCGCTATCAGTTTCTCTACTTGTAAAAGAGTTGGTAAGCGAACAGCATGGATCCCGATCATACCGCGCGGATGCCCAGGCCGGTCCGGATCCATGCCGGTCGCAAACGCATCATGCTGGCCCTGTTATGACACGGCTCATATGTAAGTGAAAAGAATAATTATTACAAAATTCAATCATCAAAGACACACAAAAAGAAAAAAGGTCATAACTTATCTTTCGCATATAGTAATTTAAGACATGATTTAAAATTGTCTAGTAAAACACATCAAGTTCTAATGAAATGTTGCATTATTTTCATACAAAAAATACTAAGATTCTTTAGTTTATTTGTATCTTCCGATGTGACCAGGCTTACAAATTTAAACATACTTGGCCTATTTATGTAAAAATTATCTATGTATATTTTTCTATCATTTTCAAATTCTTGACATACAAAAAGATAATGAAATTCATCGCCAATATCGTTACATATATTACATTTTCGGTCTTGAATAGGTATATTCTGCCATCGTCCTATTTCAATTGGAAGGCGAAGATTTCTTGTCAACAATAGTAATAATTTATTAGCTAAATTGCTTGGTAGTTTATCTATGTAACAGCTTCTAGAAAAATCCTTTTTGATATATTTGTAAACGTTTGTATCAGAAGTGTTATTTAGTTCAGAACGCCAATTTTGCGAGTAAATATCTTTTAACTTTTGAAATGTTGTTTTTATCAACCACTCACTATTGCTAAAACTTTCTATGTACCAAATCCCAGAAAAACCAGTTTCACATAAATATTGTTTTACATTTTCTATCCACAGTGATTTAACTTTATTATCTATATGTCATTTACGTAAGAAAATATAAACCTTTTGAAGATAATTTTGTTGGTTCATCACTATTGATATTTTCAATAAGTCTTGCCCAAAATGTAATTACTCTGTGTTTGATATGCACACTGAGTGGTAGGACACCTGTTTCACCATATACCATATAAGACGGGGTTGACTTTTTAAATTTAAATATATATTTGAGAAATTTCAGCTGAATTAAAACATTAACATTTCCATATCCCCAAATTTCGCTTCCGTACAGTAAAATAGGCTTGATAGTTTTTTCAAATAATTCAATTTTTCCTCAGTAATGCAAATAGTGCTTTATTAGCTTGTTCAGCTATTTGTATTTTAGATTTATAAAACGAACCACTTTTATTGAAATATATCCCTAAATATTTATATTCATTTACAATTTCCAAGAAATGTTGCCCAATTTTAAAAACATTATTTATTTTTGGACGCCCTTTACTAAATATCATAACGTTGGTTTTATTTACATTAATATTTAATTTCCACGTTTCACAATATAATTTAAACTGATCTAAAGCCTTTTGAAGATCAATTTCATTTTCACTGAAGATCACTGTATCGTCGGCATAAAGCAAAATAAAAAGTTTAAGATAGACATGTACGCCTTCAATAATTGTATCTCTTGAAACTCCGTTAATATCGTTGCTTTGTAAAAAGTATTCCAAGTCATTCAAAAATATAGAAAATAAAAATGGCGATAAATTTTCCCCTTGTCGTACCCCAATTAAACAATCGAAAAAGGGGGTGCTTCCTTCATTTGTGCTTACTCGAGACTTAATATTTTCATACAAACTTTTTATAACGTTAAAGCATTTTCCATTAATATTTTCTTGTCTTAATTTTTGCCATAGTCCTATTCTCCATACAGAGTCAATCTACATGCCATCCTTTCATTTCTGTAAAAAAAAACATGGAAAAGGAGAGATCCCTAAAGAGCAATTAAAACTGAATACAAAAGGTGAAAATTGTAGACTCTCTGTACAGAGGCTGTAAATGGGAAATTATGAAAACTTTTGGTATCAATATAAAATAGAGAAAATAAGAATCGCTAAGAAAGCCCAAACATAAAAAATAGAAAATGTTGCAGGCTCGGTTGATTGAGCTTGTTCATGGACGGTAGTGTCAAGTGCAAACTTCCGTCCACATCCCCTAGCACCGGTTAAAGCAGAATGCAACATTTAAACATGTGAAATAAGTAATAAATGCTAAATAACCTGTTAAAAACTATGTGGAAACAAAAATCCTGCAAACAAAGATAAGAAAGTAAACCTCTTTCTAGTAATCGATCTTTTTTGTTGTTGTTGTTGTTGTTGTTGTTTGAACCTGTTCATTCGAAATCATCAAAAGTGCAACATCTTTATCACCTCACACCGTCAGCGTATTATATAAATTGGACATGCTTAATAGTCATTATACCTCTTTTTTTCCTTAAATCAAACTTTAAAAAATCATACTTGACAAAATCAACTCCGTTACTATAGAAACACGCGAATACTTTAATACCGGTTTTATATTCAAAGTTTCTTAGAAAACACAAGTTTTTTTTAAAACGTTGCCCCGTACTTCACTTCAGTGTTGTTATATTTTTCTGGTCCTTCGGAATCATTGATGCCAGCACTATTAAGTGTTGAGAATTGAGTACCGCTCAAGCCGGTGCTAGAGGGCGTGAAGGATGTTGCACGTATTCATTATCCCTCATGTACAGACTCAATCAAACCGAGTCTGCAATTCTAATGTAATTTTGTTGTGATTAATGCTTCCGAGGGATCACTTTGTTTTCAGATTTTTTTCAATCAAATGTAACTACGGGATTGCATTAAATGCCGGCTGTAAATTTTAGCTGAAATATGCCCAAAACAGGAAATATAAAACTACGGAGCCATAAAAGCACTGCTTTTAGAGAGTTGCTTCAACTGTAAATATATCTAAAATATAAGATCGGCTTTGCCTCCTTCTTTAACTTTAAGTGCTTGATTTTTAAAGAACTGTCATCGTTTTCTTGTAGGTCAGTTCTTTGTAGAAATACTATCATTATATTTAACAATAAGTGTATTCATGATAGCCATTGTTTATGTCAAATGATAATATGAATAAATATAGGCTTGTGGTGTTAGCTCTTTTTTAAAATTTGTGTGCATACAACAATAAACATTGACATAAATATCCATAGTAAACCATTCATTTTTTACACCTAATTCACAATACTTGTG